CAAAAATGTTCTCACTTCATAGTTTTTAAAATACACTGGCACTGCTGCTTAAGAGTGATTCTGCGCTCTCACCAAATCCAATGACTCCCTCCAGTCTCTGCGCTGTTGTTAGTGCCATTCACATGGCCAAGAGGGAGAGAGAGTGCTTAGCTAGAATGAGGTGACAAAAAGGGAGAGACAAGCAAGAGACTGCTTCTTCTGGGGACAGCAGGCAAGTTAGGCTGGTTCACAGTCTCATGAGACCTCATCCCACAATGTGCACCGTACTGTGATAACTTCTACCTGATACAACCAGCCATCTGCTGGCTGTTCTATATGAAGGAATCTCATTTTCAGCTCTGATCATTGAGAAGGCTCATAGATTTTCTGAAAGCCTTACGGCCCAGTACGTATTTGCAAATTTATTAAAACTCTTGCTAACTTTTGTTGGTCCTCCAAATCACTCTTGGCCTTACTGTGTGTTGTTCTGGGCACTTTTGGCAATGCTGTGTTCCTGCATTTAACATGTTAAAATTGAATCCTTTCTCTGTTCATCATTTGGACACAACTCCAGCTATTTGAAAAGTATCTTCTTTTTTTCTTATAAGTCCCTTATGCCACTGTTTAGCCTTATCAGCTTCCTTCTACCCTTTCTTAAGTTCTTCTTGGTATACATTTGCTTTGTAATTCCAGTACCATGACCTAACACAATATATGTGTCAAATACACCGACTGCAAATACTCAAGTCTCTTAGCTGTCTTTTAGCTTCTTTTGAACACACTTCCTTGTTTTTATGTAGTTTCCCTTTCTGATGATGAATGCAGTTGTCATCTTTTTTTCGCTTTGTTGTTCTTGCACGGATGTTGAATACAAGTACGTGCTGTCTTCTGTTCCAGAGAACAGGAATAGAGACTAAAAAGCAACATTTTGCCGCAGGTCCTCTGCACTACTTAGGACCAAGGTAAGACCTGCTTCGTTCCCTGAAGGTTCTCTGAAGAGCTGCTCCATGAAGCAGTCATTGGCAGCACGTTGAAGTTCAACCCCATAGCTGCTGCCCAGTGCAGATGGCTAGTTTGTATCTCTTACTACTACTGCATCTCCTGCCCTCTCTGCCTTTGTGAGCTCTCTCAGCATCTCATGGTCAGTGTTCCCACCATCATCAGATCATCAGAAATATCGATCCGATGCTCTATTTGTCTTCTGCTGGTCTGAAATGCCACACCACGAGGATAAAAAAGTATAATGTCACAGTTAGCTGATTCACTGGATTTGACTCTGAGCATGCTTTAAGAGATACTACTACTCTACCACTGGTATAGCTACTTTAGCTATAAGTTTTATGGGAAAAGTACAGAACTAGCCCATGGTCTTTGAGCCTGCCTTGGGGATTAAGGCTTAATACAGTTGAAACAGAAATCCATAAACCACATAGTTCCTCTTCTTTGCTCCTAGAAGCCCATCCCTGTCACAATTTGGTGTACTGTAGTACTGCTTCAACCTCAAGCACTGGTCAGGACCATGAATTTCAGAGGTCTTTGGCTCAAGAGTTCAGCTATCTATGACTCAAAGGCCAGTTTGGTGCAGCATACCTCTGTCACCTTGACTCACTTATGAAGAAAACTTACTGTAAGAAACTATTTTAGCTAAAATGATGCAATGTAAGGGAAATAAAAATACAGGAAGAATAATCATTATTAAGATAGTGACAGCTAGCAGCAAAAAGATACAAGAGGGGAAAAAAAAACACACAAAAAAAAGCACCTCACCAAAAAATCTTACATGGAAAGGAATAAAAACTGTAGAAGAAAAAAAAAGGAAGATAATTGGAAAGGAGCAGCTGGATTAGCTGATGCTTATAAGGAGCAAAGGCTGCCATGTCCCCATGTGGCCCAGGGCTGTCTCCAGCCACTCCTCAGCAGCTGACTGAGGTGCTGAGGACAAGAAGGACATTAGCTGTGAGAATAGTAGCTTGTTAGCCCTAGTCATGTGTGGTATGAGGCAGCAGGATTTGCCAGGTGCAGTTAACCTGGATGTGTCCTGCTTGCAGTGCCTTGCGGAGGGGAAGATGCTGGCACAGAAGTGCCTTGGCCAGAGAACACCATGACAGTGCCACGTGGCCCGGGGTGCAGAGCTGGGGCAGATGGATGTTGCATGAAGGCAGGGCATGGCCACCATCCAGCACGATGGCTCCTCACCCACTGACCATCACCTAACCTGGCAAGGTCAGAGGCGAGCTCCTGCCCTACCTGCCCCCAGCTGCAGCTGATGCAGCCAGACAGGGGCCTTGGTGGCAGCTGGGGACAGTGCCAAGCGCTGGTTGCTGTCACATGGACCTTTAGAGCTTGGAGGAGAAGTGGGTGTGATATGTCATTCCTCCCTGGAATGAGAGCTTTTACCTTTTATCAAAGGCTGGCCAAGAGACAGCACCTAAGACCAAGTTATTTGGTATGATTTTTCCTGTTAAAGCTACTCCGTGGGTTGCCAGTGCTACAGGGGGAAATTTGGAGAAGATGCAAGACTAAAACCTGAGGTACATTTTGACCTGCTCTACTCTAGCCTTTATGTTCATGCTGTCCCTTTTGCTTTTCCTTTAGCCAGGCGGTATAGCAGGCTCTGGGCGCTGCTTGCACTGGGAGAGCTATTCCTTTCCCAGGTACTACTTCTCCCCCGTCCTCATGCAGAGATTAAAATTTAACTCTTACCTCCCTCATGTGTTTGGTCTGCTTTGTTTCTCCTTTCCATTCTCTTGCACTATAACCAAGCAGATCAACTTCTGGCAGCACACTGAGATTCCCTAAATCAAGATTAATCCATAGATTAGTTACCTTCTGCTGTTCTGCATTTAAAAGGTAGTGGTGGTGGTGGGGATTAATGAATACAGAATGACAACAAAAAGATTACTTATGAGTTTCTTCTGAACGTAGTTGCTCCACCTGAAATCCAAATGATAAAACAGGTGTCAAAGAGGAGCTGTCAAAGGTCAATTTTTATTGAAATAAGCAACAGCGTGGAAGATTAAAGTCTGCATAATAAAAACCTACCGTTTCAGCAGCTGTGCTAAAAAACTGTATAGCCTTCTGCAATAGCAAAAAACAGCAACGAGGAAAGACATGCTTAGAGCTAGATGCACTTTCACTTTTTGCCACATAAGACACAAGGATTGCTTGGTAGCCGTTGTCCAGGACTGCACCTCATACCTTCCTAAAATAGAGATTAAAAGAAAGAGGAAAAAAAATCTTGTCACTGTTTTGCAATACTTGTTTCTATTTGTTTTCTTATTTGTTTTCTTACCAAACAAAAAAGCAGAGTATAATACCACTCCAAATGAAACATAATATGAAATGTAAAAGGTGAGTATATTTTTATATAATTAATATATATTCTTTATATACTTGAGATTTTCAAGTTTCTAGGGTTTTGGCTGCACCTGGTTCACATTTCCAAGCTTTCTTCCACACAGTGAAAGCTAAATACACAGTTATGATGGAGTCACAAGGAGACCAATATCAAAGCAACTGTTCAATAACTAAAAATTTAAAAGAAAAATTTTTGCTTCAGGATGCTTAGATTCAAACACCTGTACTGTCATTAATTTGGCACTAAGTCAAGTTATTAAAGACCTGAGGTTCCTGGGAGTTGTAGTCTACAAATGGGCCGTCTAAGGTACTGTTAGCTAACTGAGCATCCTATGACTGACAGGGGAATTAAGGAAATGTTCCTGCCTCAATCTGGGCAAGTTTAGGGTCCATTTAAAACTCTGGAGAAAGCTCTTTCCTGGGGATTAGGTAGAAAGCTCAAGAGATCATCACAAAGAGGGGTGTGCTCTCACTGTTCTTCACAGGCATAAATCAGGCCAAGTTTCTGTTGCTCTCTTGGTGTGTAAGAGGCAGGGTTAGGGAAGGTTTTGGTTGTCTTTTGGTGATAAGAAAACCTAGAATAGAGAGAGAGTCTGAAGAATGAGGCAGTGTCCTCTCCCTAAGTGAGAAATTTCTCCTCTGGCTGAAATTTAAGTATAGAGATTTCCCACAGATTACAATCAACAGCTGCTCTATTATTAACTTATTTATTGATTTAGTACAAAATTTTAAAAGAACTTAACTTTTTAAAAAAGCATCCCCAGAGAAGGCTGAAAAGATCCTTCTCCAGAGAGTCCACAAAGGGAATTACTCATTCAGCATAGTTTTATGTCAGCTGAACTTCTGTCCCTCCTGGCTTTAACAGGAAATTTAAGAGAGGCTTAAATTTTCCAAGGGAGTTAAGACCATGCACTCTGGACAACTATCCAGTCACAGAGTTACATGTGAATCCTCGCCTTGGCAACAAGATAAAGAGTTACGCACACATTTTTACAAGTACTGTTGCATATACACAGAGCAGCGCTGGTATTTGGCCTTTTCCAATATTCTGCTGTTTGAAGAAGTTTTATTACAGGATGTCATACGCAAGTTGTCCGGAGGCAAGACCCAGACCTCGTCTCTCTCACAGACACACGGCAGGTTAAGAGCTGTAAATGAAAAGCTGTTAATAAACTTTAAAGAGGTAATCAGAGAAGCTTTTGGGGTGCTAGTTCCCATTTACACGCAACTGATATTGCTGTGAACACTTTTCATACAAGATGATGGACAGGTCTTCTCTCAGCTTCTCCTCAGGCCCTGCAGTGAGGTGTGCGGGGCTGGCACGACTGGGGGTTAGGCCTGCACATACCAAGTAGAAAAAAGCAAGACATGCATTCATGCATAACCAAAAAGAACAAAAATCTGAAGCTGCAAGAAGCGTTTATTACCAATGCCAAGTAACAGAGAGTAAAACATCAGCTGTAAGGTTAAAAAATGCCATAGCTCATGGAAGCAGTGGGTCACTCCTACATACAGCACCTACACACACTTACTGCTGATGGACACCAGGCACATTCTCAGTAAGCACCCAAATTGCTGCCTAAAGAACAGCAAATGAGCATTAGTAACAGACAAGAACCCTAGCAGAATAAGGCCACTGCAATTTTTTCTCCCACTTTTTTAGGATAAAGGCATTGGCATTGAATAAAACCTCAGCAGACTGTAAATAACTCAACCTTCTGCTAACTAGAACCTGAAGGCTTACAAATGGGGTTTAGCCCATGGATCGGTGGATATCCTGGATCCACATCCTCACGCTGTTGCATTAAAACCAATGATGATTCACACAGAATTCAATAACAGCAATTGAAACATATGGTATTGAAAGGAAGATGCAGTAGCCTTTCATGTCATTACCTGAAATGACAGTAAGGTTCCTCTTTTGATTTTGAACAAACTGGGACTACAAAATGTGAGAGCTGGTCCATCTGTTCAAATGACATACTTTGCTTTACTGAGTACCAGGAAAACATGGGAATGCAAAATTTCTTCCTTTACCCCTTTTACTGGCAAAAAGATGAGAGGTTTGCATCAGCACGATTGAAGTTGACTCAAACAATCTTCTGAAAAAGCTTTTGAATCCTGCAAAAAGCCCTACTGGAGTCCAGCAAACCCCCTTTCAAGGCATATGGTTAACAGATGCATGAACAACTATTCTTCAAGGAGTGCTGGTAAGCACTGGCTTACAAATTTAAATCAATACCACAAACTGATGTCAGAGAACATTTTTCATCCATTTTTAATTAGAACAGGAGACTTATCAGTAGGTATTTCCCTCATAAAAAGTCTAATGGATGATGAGAAAAACTGCAAACAAGTGATTTCGAGTATTTTTTCTACACTTCTATTACAGCATACCCTGGACTTCATAAACCTTCCCCTCCTGTCACAGGAAAGCTGCTGTTCAAGCAGCACTTTGTGATTCAGTTAGTACTTTCAGTGCTTATGTCACACTTAGAAATGTAATTACATTTTTTATTCAAATAAAAGACATTTAGAAGTGGCAGCTGGATCACAAAGTGCCGCTGCTAAAAATACATCATGAACAAGATGTGAATTAAAGAAGAGGGCAGTTTAAAATAGATCTTTCCACCCCCTCCCTGCCCCCTCTCAAATTCTTCAGAAACCAAAGAACAATTAAATTAATAATGCACTAGTGGGGAGGAGTAAAATAAACCCACGGATTTTTAAACCAAATGCATTGCTTGGGAGGTGGACAATTCATCCTGTTCCTCAGGAGACAGTGACAATCTTTCGGTGCAGCAACCAGCTGCTGGGCTCACATCTTTTTGAAGACTGACCAGGAGCATCACCATGGGGACAGCAAGGCCTCACTCTTCTCCCATGCAGAAGAATAAAGCCCTGGGACTTCTAACACAGCTCCAAGGAGAAATTTGGATGAACAGAGGTTGAACAGCACTGAAGTAGGAGCTTACAGCAGTGTTTATCTTGCAACGCAAGTAGTACACCATGTTTTCTTTTCAAGCTACATCATCAGCTTCCTGCTAGTGCCAAACCTTAAGCTTTTGCCCTACCACAAAGTCAGTGGGAGAGATGCACAAAAGAAAAAAAAACCAAACCTGAAAAAACCTACAATGAAAAAGGCCAGAAAAATGATGAGTAAGAGACATCTGCAGCATCTACTTCTTTCACAAGTAACTCAAGAGGACTCTCTAAAGGATTAGCCCCATATTTGACACCCTCACAACTTTTTTTGGAGGCTGCCACCTTAAAAATGTGGAACTAATGAAAAGCAAAATGTAAGAGATCACCTTGGGAACTCACAGGCAGCCTTGTACACAAAGCTGAAGCACGATCCAATATTCCAGCATATCTGATGGCACATTGATCCTTTTCACTTTTTGCCTCCTTGCCTGTAACAGGGCCATCAATGAGATAACAGAGTGTCTTCCAAAGCTAAAAGCTGGCTGTGTGACTTCATTTCAGGACATTCCTCTTCATGGACTTTTTGGTGTCGAAAGCAGGATGTAGTACTTGTACCACAAAGTGGCCAAGTTTCATGCTCCCATCACACAAAACTATGTTCCTAGTTCCCAAAAAGCAGGTATCTCCTCCTTCAAAGAGGGACACAGAATTTGAGATCCCTCTGTTCTAACCATTTTGCTGCCCATTCATATCCCTCTTTCTCTTCCCTTTCTTGGACCCAAAGCTAGGAAGAGGGACCTCTCAATGGAGAGATGCAAGGCTTGCCATGGTCGTCCAAGCCTGGCTGCATTCAATGTGCGCCTGCAGAGCTCTCTTCACATGTGTACATCACTTTTTCCAGACTATATAGTAGAAGTACTGAGGTATGTTATAAAATAAGCTAAGTCTCTCTTATAATAGAAAACAAGCAAATTTATCCTTATAGAGCAGGCATCAGCACAATGCACAGATGCACACATATGCACATATACCTCAACTGACTGAGCCAAGAGGGAGCCACAGACAAAAAGCTATTAATTACACAAATTTAATACCTATAATAGATTACACTCCATCACAGCTTAGAAGAGAGAAACGTGCCTTTTTAAGTAGTGCCAAGTGATTACAAAGCCTTTGAGTTCCTAGTTTATTATCAGTGCCACACCAAAAAATTAAAAACTCGTGAAAACAAAACAGATCAAATGCATACCAAGATATGTGGGAAGCACTGCTTAATTCAACAACTATTTCATTACAAAATCCTCCCTTTACCAAGCAAAGCAATGTGAACTGGCTAAGCAAACCTTCTTTGTCTGTTGTAATACAACAACTAGAGATGAAGATCTCTGCTTGGTATAAGAAGAAAAGGAGAATCATTTACAGGCAAAGATGGTAATCCACAGTGATTTATCAATTAAGTTCAAGCATGTCTGCTGATCAGTTCACAACTTCTACCCAAAAAAACCCAAAACAGAATCCCAGTCCCAAGCCATAACTAGAATCATGCAATTACTTAGAAAATGGAACAGTTTCGGTAGCACCGAGGCCCATCACTTACAAGAAAGGCTTTATTTACACAGCCGTTCTGCGAAGGAGTTCCAAGTGCTCTCTCAGCCCTTGTCCCCTTTCTGCAAAGATCCTGAAGGAGAAATAGAGTAGAAAGGCTGGCAGCCTCCTTTGGACTCCCTGACTGTCAACAGGATCCAAAGTGCTGCTGTGAACCTATTTATACAGTTATGATGCTTACTTATTCCTATTTTGCAGCTACAAGCATGATGTGCTCTTACCTTCTGTGTGATTACCCAAGGCAGACCCTATTAGAGTTACC